CGACGAAGACAATTGCAAAATTCTTCCTTTATAATCATATACCAACATATGTTGCCACCTCCTCATATTATCAACTGATATTTAATGAAATATCAACAACAAAAAAAAGAGTTAAAGGCCCTACACCATATGAAATTATGAACAATTATTTTAATACCATTATATGTGATGATTGTACAAACCTACGGAATTGTTTATCATTAATTTCATGATTCATTATGATGGACAAACAACTTTTTATATATTAATCGTTGCATCAACAAAAAATCATGATACAAATTATTTGTATGATTTGATAGACAAAGCTGCTAATAAAATTATAACAAAAAAATTCATTCAAAAATATCATAAATAATAAGAATGCATACAGAGAAAATGAAAAAAGATTCGAATATAAAAGAAAATACTTATAGATTCTATGTGCAACTCATTGTATTAAAATAATATTGATAAACATGTTAAAACTTTCAAATATTGCTAAATTCATTGAACAAGATGAAAAAATTATAAATTTTATCTATAATAATCATTTAAGTTTTTATTTGATGATATAGCATATAAATCATCAATTAATACATCTTGGGCCTACAAGTTCACAATAAATTTTATTGCAATTTATAACATTTTTAGAAAAAAAAGCAAGTTTGAGGGCTATAATAAATTTCAATGAAGATAGTTAAGGTCAATGTGAATTATATTGACAAATATTGATGCAGTTGTGAAAATTTTGTGGATTGTAGCGATGCATAGAACATGTATTGTTATTGAATAAGTTGCTCAAAAATCTTGAAAATAAATTATAATTATCATAAACAATAGATGAAATAAACAACTTTTTTAATGACTTGCATGCAATAGGTATGTTTAGCTATTTTTTAATTAGTATTTTATATCATTATTTACTATTTAAATTGAAATTAATAATATTTTATTATTTTTAAATTTTAGCATACTATTTACACCAAAAGTATTAATACTTAGTGGCTCATAGTTTTTAATAAATAACTATTAAGATCCTTAAAACTTTGTATCCTGAACTTTGAACAATATGAAAAAAAAAGGTGTTGAAAAAAATAAAAGTTTGAATATCATTATAATTTTATGTTATAATATATTTAAGCTTTCATATTAACAATCATTGTTCCAAAATAGATAAAAATATTTTGTGAGACATGGAGATCATTTGAAAAATTTTCAGGTAAAAAATTAATAGATAATTTTGATATATATAATTTGAATTTTATAATATTTATAAGGGCAAATTTCTTAAAATACCCTTATGGTTTAGCTAATTAACTAACTTTATCCTTACTGTTTAACTATTATCTTGCACCACCCCTACTATTTTCGATAAAAAAGATAAAATGTCCCTTTTGCCCTTAAATTAAACAATCACGTGAAAGATAATGCATCGTCTACAATGGTTACTGTTGCATTTTTTGACTGATGGTGCGACAGGTTAGAAGCATATCTCTACTGGAAGCATTGGTGAACTGTGAGAAGTAAACCATTCCAACGAATCTAATTTTATAGTGGAATCTGGCCTAAGCGGTAGAGCTTCTCCAATCTGAATAGGTCCGCTAGGTACTTTCTTGTACCTCTTTTTCTTCCCCTGCCCATCACTCTTCTAAAGGTCAAGAGCAGAGTCCAAGATGATTTATGTGTGTCTAGTAGAGTGGTTCAAAAACTAGAAGTGGTTCCTTGCTAGTAACTACAAGTAGTTCAGGAACCCCATCCTTACCCTGTCCTAATTGAACAAAATGACGAGATTGATTATAGATTGATAGAATCACGAAATTGCCATTTGGAAGGATTCGTATATCAACAACCACAAGCAACAATCAAGGAAAATGTAACTCAATAATAAAATCAACAACATAGTGATGAACTGGGTCAGCTACAGTTTCCCTGTTCCTGTAACCGTTGTAGCTCATAACAGAGTTAAAACAATTCAAGCCTGGTTACGGCTTGCCTAGTCATGGATGTTGCAGATGTGAAGTTATTGGCCATTATTGAAAGTCCTCTGAGCGATGTCATGGATGTTCTTCCATCTATAGTCCACTATCCTTCACGAAGCATTTTAAACGTCCTCTAACTCGTTGTCTGCTCCCCTTCACTCTTTTGCCAAACAATAAAATGTGAATTGCGAAGGCATTTCCACCATGTGAAGTTCAAACCCCTCTCGAGGGAAAGAAGTGAATTGAAAACCAGCTTCAAATCCCTTCACAATCGAATGCGAAAGTGATAAAAACATGATTAAACCATTTTTTCTTTCTTTTTCGTGCCAAATCTAGCTGGAGATGTAATCGGATACGACAACTGAGTAAGGGAAAGAGAGGGAGAGTTGAAAGGGTTATCGCCAATTCTTTTGTGTTTTTTACCTAAAATCAATTAGAAATAGTAGAAAGAGAAGAACAAATCTCATTTTTTTCGGCTTCCCCTATCCTCACTCAGTGATCGACGGTTTTGTCCTATAGCGCATTGTTTGGGTTAAGTGAAATTCTTTGACGACATCTGTGATTCAAAGCCATTTCTGGGTGAATGGAAAATCCTTCCTATTAATATGTCTCTTTTGAGTTTTCTAATGAAGCCTTTGTAGCATAGAAGCCACCTTCCACATCTGTAAAGTAATGGGCTGGGGTTTTGGATGTTTTTATGGCAAGGCCTCTTTTCCATCCAAGTTGGGAGCATTTTACACAACTATTCCAACTAACTAACAAAAAATTAGTCATCATTTTATTAATCAACTAAATGATCAATTAAACGATAAATTTGTTCTCTCTCTCTCTCTTAGTCGGTGGATTATTTTGGGTTTTGGGTATTTCTGTATACGATCAATTAGACGATAAATCTATTTTCTCTCTAGTCGTCAGTGGGTTGTTTTGGGTTTCTAGGTATTTATGGGTGGAACTCTTCGGCAACCTCCTTGATTCACAACCATCTCTCTCTCCTTAGAGAATAGGCGATCTAAGAAAACGCAACATTAATTTGCAAAATGGGGAAAAGGAATAGAGAGGAATGAAAAGAAGGGTAATTTAGGAATTTAAAAAAAATTACAAGTCACATGAGGTCATATGTGAATGGAATATGGTGGAAAATTAATGGTAAGGGAGGTTTTAAACAATTGTTAAAAACAATAGGGGTGGTGCAAGACAATAGTTAAACAATAAGGGTAGAGTTATTCAATTAACTAAACCATAAGGGTAGTTTAAAAAATTTACCCTATTTATAATATTAAATATTTTATTATCAATTATATATTATACTAATATATGATTTTTTTTCTCTTTTTTTATTGAATGGTTATTTTTCTATTTATAAAAAGCGTTCAATATTTATAATTCATTATAATGAAATTATTATAACAAATTACATCATTTAGTGGTTGTGAAAATTGAAACATTGTTGGCATTATACACATAATGTAGTAGAATCGTCTATCATATAAGAATCTAGAAAAATTAGTTTATGTTCACTATAATATTAGGTTAAAAGTGAAAAGTCTTATTAATGATATGATACGTTGAAAGGGATATTTTGATCCTCTAAATTTGGATAAAATATGATAAAAACGATCCACTAGTAGAATGAATGCAAAGTATTGAAAATGTATAATGTTGCTAGATGAATTTAGTGACCTACTTAGGCCCAATACATTCATTGTTGAAAAAATAGATATAGATATTAATAGATGGGTTAAGGAACAATACACCCAAAGAGACACAAAAGAAATATAACCTATTACTGACAATGATGGTAATAGTAGTAATAATGGTGGTGGTGGTGATGATGATGATAGTGATGAAGGTGAAAATGATGAGGAATGTGGTGGTAGTAGTGGTTACAATCAAAGTCAATATACACTATCAAGAGTCAATATTGGTGATGACGAAATACTTGTATTTACTATAGAATAATTTTACAATCATACTACATATGATTAAAATCATCACAGCGATAAAGTTAGGCAACAAAGTCATAGTCATGGAAGATAATCTCATTAATACGATAAAATGGTATAGATTTTTGGTAGTACGAGTTTGTCTTTATTAGCTTCAACATATGAATCATATTATTATAGTTATAATTCATATGGCCATTATATTTCTAAAGTTTTAGTATTGTTAGTTGTAATGTTTTTCTTCAACTTATTATAATTATACCTTATTTATAAATATTTTAGCTCATAATTGTCAAGGCGACTAATCGAGGCTAGGCAACCATGGGGTGCCCAGGCGCCTAGGTGCCTAGGCGATGGAATCTATAAATATAAAATTTATAGATTTCTATACTTCCTCAAGGACCTAAACTATTTTATAAATTATATTTGTTTATTAGTTTCACATTACACTAGGCATAATCAATAAAATCTTTCATATAAGTATAATTTTCATGTGAAAACATAAAAATTGAACATTTGAATTAAAATAAATAAGAAATCAAACAAGTGGCTGATAAAAAAATGCAATCAAGCAAGTAAAGTGAGAGAAAAAGTCTACTAACATGGCAAGTCCCAAGTTGACAACTCCAAAAAAGTAAAAAAAAAAACTAATAATTCAAAATTTGTTTCATAGAAAGAATCATAGTACATACCTTTTGGATGATTGAGTATTGATCTTGAGTATTTTTTCTGCAACTTTGCCTTCAATAAGAAAACAAATTAAAAGAATTAATCAATCAATAAGAAATCAACCTTATCATTAACAAATAGAAGAAGAAACACTACAACAAAACTAAAAATATTCATAAGAATTCAATATCAATCCTTTAAGGATTAAAATACATACCTTGGTTGATGCTTGGTACTTTAAGAAATAATAAGATGAAACTATGAAAGTCATGAAACCATTAAAAAAATAAAAAGCATAATAGCATATAATGAGTAAATATAAAAACTATAAATCATTATTCATCTCCACAAGTCCACAAAAAATAAATATGAAGTTTAAAACTTTAAATGTATCATAGACAATACAATCCTTAAAAAAATTCTCTATTCTCTAATTAATTAGAGTGTCTAAGAAGTAAGAACCACCAACATCATTAGCACCATAATCAACATTTTCATCTTCATCCTCATCACTATCACCATCATCATCATGATCATCTTCAACATCAATATCTTCTTCTTCATCTTCATTATCTTCCATATCTTTGTCCCACATCGAGTCTTCTTCTTCTTGAATAACACTTTTGCCTTTATCTTGTCTTCCAAACTCGCATCTCCCATGACTACATCTACCTCTATTTGGACCCTCAGGTCCCTCACTTGCATTTCTACGTCCATGTCCACTTCTCCTTGGCCGATTTGACCCTTCAAGGATTTTAGATGCCCCTAATGCTTCATCAACTTGAATCCATGTAAGATCACACCCTTCATGGACCAAGTCATTTGAGGAGTCATTCCTAGTCAACCACTCATTGGTTGTATTGAACAAATACAAGATCATTGAGCCTCTTTTGATCAAGCATATTCCTCTTTTTTGTATGAATTTACATTCACAACAAAATAAGAAAATTACAAAAATAAGTATCTTAACTTTCATAAATAATTTTATCACAAAACCAACCATTTGGTCCATTACTTAAAACTTACATGCTCAAAAGTGCTCCAGTTGCGCTCACAAGTAGAAGTGCATGTAAGACCTAATATGCGTAATGCAATACGCCTAAGATCTGGGGTGCAACGTCCATAGTTATGCCACCAATCAGCTACAAAATAGAAAAAATGAATTAAAATAATATAATTTTGAAATAACAGGAATAAAATATAAATATAAGTTTCAAGAAAAGAGAACTTACATTACTCGGTTGCTTCATTTCACGTTGCCTAATTGCCAATTCTTTAAAGAAAGCATCACGGACATGCTTATACTCTTTAAACTGATGAGAGATATTGTCTTGAATTTCAATATCACTGACCATTCTCTCAATGCAATCTAGAAAGCTCATTTCAAACTTTCTAATCGATGCTTCATCTTGTGCTTTAGCATTACAATAAAGGGCTGAATTGAGAAAAAAACTAGCACAGTGCAACGGATATTGCATCATATTAGTCTGACGCCTATCAAAAATGTCTAAAATGGGCTTATACTTCATTTCTTTCCCACTAAAATTTTCTTTTATTTCCTCTCTTGCTCACTCCATTACATAGAAAAAATAACCCATTACGGGTTTTTCATCACCATCAACCAATCGTAAAACCTCCAGAATCGGTTAAGCAGCCAAAAGAGCAACTCTTACACTTTTCCAAAACCTAACATAAAACACAGTGCTTGATGCTCTTTGTCCATCTGATTTGTTAGCCCATTTACTCTTGTTCCACGCATCACCAACAAATAAAGTACGCAAGGCTCCTTGAAAGTATACAAACTTTGTAAAGTTATAAAAGAGGTAACAAACCTTGTAACTACACATCGTACAAGATCTCTTCCATTTCTTTTTTCCCTCATATGTGCAAGAAGAAGAGGATGCCTATAAATAAAAGCAGTCACTTGTCTTGCCTTGGCAATACAACTTTTTGTAGACCTTAATTCTCCAATGCCTTCTAACATAAGGTCTAGACAATGGGCAGTACAAGGAGTCCAAAATAAATTTTTTCTCTTCAAACTTAAAATATCACTGGCAGCAACATAAGCAGAGTGGTTATTAGTAACCACTTACACCACATGCTCCTCCCCTATCTCCTCAACAACTTTATCAATCAATTCAAATAGAAAAGTTGCATTATGGACTTAATTTGATGCATCAACTAATTTTAGAAAAAAAAGTTCCTTCAGGAGAATTCACCAAAAAATTAATCAAAGATCTTTGCCATTTATCAGTTCATCCATCAGACATGATGGTACAACCATAAGTCTTTCAAGAAGCCTCATACTCCATGTACATTTGTTTTGTTTTCTCAACCTCCCCTTTCAAGAGTGGCTCCCGTAAATCATGGTAACTTGGAGGCTTGTATCCGGACCCAAATTGTGCAATTACTTCAACCATAATTTCAAAACTTTTCAACTCCACCGTATTGAAAGCAATCCCAACTTGATAAAACCACTTTGCTACATATTCATTTACTTTTTTTTCTCTTCCTTCTTCAAACGACTTTCAATGCTTGTTTGAACCAATTGTCCTTTATGCCTTGCTTCAATAACTTCTTTTGGATTTGGTCTCACAAAACTATCCATAGGTCCTTTGACATTTTCCTTATTTTTTAGTGGAAGGAGGGAATTTGAAATTGGAGTGCTCCTACCACTTGAAATGGAGACACTTTCTATGGGTTTATTACTTTGATTGTTAGAACCCCTTTCACTTACAATCTGTTCTCATGCCCCATGATTATCTACAATTGTAAAATCATCCAATGGTTTTTTCCTCTTATTCTTCTGCATATATCCTTGCATCTCCTTGGCAATACTTATAGTAGTTTTGGGACATTTAGTCACATACGGTCTCATATCCCCCAACCAAATGTTGTTTTATCCTTCTTATTCCGCCTTTAACAACTTTACCACATAATGGGCATGAAATTGTATTTTTATCTTCTAAATCATGCCAAAATACATATTTCCATGCAGGGTCCTTTGATTGAGCCTTACGCCTAATATTGCAATATAGAAATAAAAATTAAAAAAAAATCAGTCATATAATCATTAATCAAATATCAAATTTTCAATTCAGCTTCAGCCATATAATCAAGTTTCAGAGTGAGACTTGCAGTTTATCTAGGTAAAAACATCTCAGCCATATATAATTATATATATTAATAATATAAAAAACATTTGAAAAAACTGATAAAAAAATAAAAGAGTAGTTCAGTCATGTAAAAAAACATTAATGAAGAAGAGAAGAAGAGAATTCAGCCATATAATCACATATATTAATGATATATCATATATCATATATCATATATATAATCACTGAATCAAGTTTCAAACATGTAATTCAGCCATAAAAAAACATTTGCAAAAGAGAATTCAATTCAACCATACAATCACTGAATCAAGTTTTAGACATGGAGTTCATCCATATAAAAAAAATCAGCCATATAATCATATATATTAATGATATAAAAACAAATTGAATGAGAAGAAGAAGAAGAATTAAAGAAGAGATTAGAGAACAATAATTGAAGAAGAGAAGAAGAGTAGGTTCGACAGCTTCGACTATTAAAAATTGAGATGATTCAAGTGTGAATCATGACTGAAATACTAATTGAGTGAAGGGAGGAGAAGAGTAGGGCGGAGCCCCTGTTTTTTTCAAAAAAAAAAACAAAAAACAAAAAAAATGGACTCATGGGGCGGACTGACGACTGAGAGAGTGAGAATGACTGACTAAGAACAATTGGACTCATGGGGTGGAAGAAGAAGAAGAAGTGGAGAAATGGAGGACTGAGGAGTATAGGGGTGGAGCCCTTATTTTTTCGAAAAAAAAAAAGAAAAGAAAAGGAGGACTGGCAGAGCCCCTATTTTTTCGAAAAAAAAGGAAAAAAAAGTCTGAAATCTAGAAAAGAAGAAGAAGAAGTTATCAACTTACCTGCTTGAACTAAGGTGCAATGGAGCTGGGTTGGGGCTCAAGCTTGCAGTGTTTGGTTCTCCTCCCTCTCCAGTTGAACCAAAACCCTTGATAGAAAAAGAAAATAGATGCATGTAAACGTTCGCTTAAGTCTTTGGGCGGGTGCCTAGTGCGCAAAACATATGGCATTTGGGCGAGGTGACCATGAAAAACCGCCTAGTCGCCTTGACAACTATGTTTCGGCTTTAGATTTAGTATTATTAATTTATACTACTACTAAAAGTGTGAAACTTTTATTTTACTAAAGTACCCTATTTATTTAATCTAATCCCTCTTTAATTGTAAGGATAAAAATGTAATTTGAACATCCACTTTTCTCCTCGTACGCATCCCTGTCATCAATAATAGTTGTTTTTATTGATGTTGGAAATAAAATATAACATTAAAACCAATCCAAAAAATGAAATTATTTTCATGGTGGTGGGTCAATAGTTTATCTTTTAGGTTATATGTGTCAATCCATAATCTCACAATTAAATAATAATAATTAAAAAAGATAAAATACAAAAAAGATGAAAAAAATATATAAACTCTATAGAAAATATTTGGATACATCTCTAATATTTTATATAAATCATATTAAAAATTAAACACAATAAATAATAATAAACAACATACAAAATTTAAAACTAATCCAAAAGTGGAATTGTTTTCTTGTTTGGTAATAAATCAACAATTCAACTTTTTAGGTAAAATGTGTCAATATGTGAAGTCATAATTATATAATAAAAATTTAAAAAGACCAAACAAAAAAATATATAAATTATGTAGAAAATAATTGGGCATATCTCTAATATGTAATATTAATTAATCATATTAAAGAAAAATAAATGTGACAAGAATACTTATTTTTATTGATGATAGAAATAAAATACAAATTTAAAACCAACCCAAAAATGGAGTTGTTTTCCTATTTGGTGAAAAGTCAAGAATTCAACCTTTTTGGTCAAACATGCTAACCCTTGATGGCATAAATAAATAATAATAATAATAAATAAAAAAGGATGAAAACACACAAAAATATAAAAATATAAAAAAATTGTAGAAAACAATTTGGCACATCTCTAGTATTGTGTAATTATCATATTAAACAAAAATAAGTGTGACAAATAAAAATAATTCTTATAAACATAGTAATATACAAAGTTTGTAGAAAATTTTGGAAACATATTATATACCATCATCATCATAATAAAAAATTGCCATGTGCAATGCACGTGTACACTTACTAGTGTATTTATGTGATTTGTATGCATTTCTCTAATACAAATCACCTATACTTATACTTTAATCCTTGCCCTTCCTAAGCCTAGAACCCCTATGACCTCCAATTGGATGACTCAAACCTTGGTAGGGTTGCAAGCAAGGATTAAAATTATGATACACCCAATTGTATTGACATCGGTAAGTATGGGCATGGGATACGTTACGATTGGTACAAGAGAGTATCAATCGTAGGCATCGTTATGATATGGTGCCATATCGGTGCATATTGTGTTGTGTTGGTCGATACAACATGATACGACTCAATACAAAATTGTATCGCACCCTAGGTTAACGACAAGCAAGGATTGACCTACTCTAGGTGTTTTACTTTTTCAATATCTTTTCACATATTTTCGGTGGAAAGTATATTCCACCATTGAGAGATTTGCTTTAGGACAAAAGAAAGAATAAACAAATTTTTATTTTTACTTTGGGAAGAGTAGAAAACTGGAGAAAAGAGGAAGAAGAAGAAGAAGAAGGAAGGAAGGAAGAAAGGAAAAAAGAAAGAAGAAAGAAGGAAGGAAGAAAGGAAAAAAGAAAGAAGAAGAAGAAGAAGAAGAAGAAGAAGAAGAAGAAGAGGAGGAGGAGGAGGAGGAGGAGGAGGAGGAAGAAAAAAGGACTCCATCGTAGTAAAGTATATTTTTTACTTTTTTTATGAATTATATTTTTATTTTGTGGATAAAGAATTTGTTTGTAATTGTAGTTCTGTTTCCATAAGTATCAAATCCTACATTTATAATTACCATAATTAATGGAACTATATTTATGGGTTTGGGGGATGTTATAGGTTTAGGGGATGACCCCCAGGGTAGGAATGGCAATGGGCAGGTTTAGGGAGGGGATCATACTCCCCACCATGACCTTGAGTTTTAAATTAATCCCTATCAAAAATTTTAGCCTGCATCCCCGGTCTTCAATAGAGAGGTCTTCCCCATTGGGGACCTGAATCCCTAAATTTCTTAATTAAAAGTTTGTTTTTAGAAAGGTATTTATTTAAAATAAAGGAAAATTTTAAATGCAAATAATATTTTAAAAATATTTTAAAAATATTTTGATATATAAATAACATAAATATTATTAAATATTTAATATAATATATACACATATTTAATATATATATAATTGGGGTTGGGGCGGGGTGTGGACTTCACTCCTCGTCCTTAATTAGGTATTCTTATTAATTCCACCCCCATCCTATCCCCACTAAGGCAATCTCCATCCCATTCCTGCTTGATCGGGGAGGCCGGGTACTTAGTGGGGATGGAGAAAATTGCTATCCCTACCCCCGAGTTGTGTAGCTCCATAGAACAATAAATTTTAAGTCCAATTCCGTGCGATGCACAGGGCCTGCTAGTCAAATCAAATATGTAAAACGTGGCACTAGAAATGAAAGTGACCTATATAATTTTTAATAAAAATTAATTATATTAATTATTTATTATATTATTAGGGTAAATAATATGCTTATGTTTATAACATAGTTCATTTTTAAGTTAATTAATAAAGTATTTTTTTAGAATAAATATTATTTACTTCAATCAACAAATAAGACCAGTATTTTAAAAACTAGCTTAGAGGCTGAATAGTTTTTGCCTTTAGGAAATAGGTCAATGGCTCAATTGTGTGAGTCGGGCAAGTTAAACCATGACATGTTATCCATCTGTACATGTGTGTAGGGAATCGAACCGTGGGATATTTTTTCAAACCGAATCGACCTGATCGATTTTTTAAATATCCAAATCGAAACCGAACCGATGCAATCAGTTAACCAGTGGACCGGTTAACCGTGGTTCAGTTTTTCGGTTTTTTTATGCAATTAAAATAAAAAAGAAACTAAAACCATCGGTGGTTGCTTCCAGTGCCGGACTGGTTGGTGTCAGTGGTTGCTGTCGATGCCGAACTGGTTGGTGTCGGTGGTTGCTGTCGATGCCAAACTGGTTGGTGTCGGTGTTGTCGCTTGTCGGAAACGCAGAGAGCCTGAAGTGAGAGCTTGAGAGCTTGTCAAAGATGCAGAGAGCAGAGGTGAGAGAGAGAAAAGAGAGATACAGAGGTCAGTCCTTGCTTGCCGATGAGGCGGCGATCGCCAATGTTGCCGCTTGGTGTTGCCGTGTTGGTGGTTGGCATGGGCCGTGCGGCCATTTGGAGTGGAGAACAGGAAGAGTCGAAGAAGAAGACTAAGAAGAGTTTAAGAAGAAGAAGAGTCAAAGAAGAAGAAGATTAGAAGAGAAGAGAAGAGAAAACTGAGAGAGAGAGAGAGAGAGAGAGAGAGAGAGAGGAGTCAAAAGAAGTTTGGCACTCGTAGTTTGGGGAAAAGACAAGAAAAGTAGAAAAATGATGGATGGTAGAACTTCAATGAAAAGTTCAAATTTTAAAAGAAAGGCTGAAAGTCTTTGCCAACTCTTTTATTCGATTTTCAAAAATATATATATATATATATATATATATATATATATATATATATATATATATATACCGATTTTTTAAATGGTTAACTGAAACTGAACCAAAACTAGTAGTTTTTTAAGAATATCGAATTGAAACCGAATTGACCGGTTCGGTTAACTAGTTTTTCGGTTAAGTTTCGATCGGTTTTTCAATCGATTCGGTTTTTTGTTTTTTTTTTGCTCACCCTTACGTGTATGTGTGTAGAGGTGTCAATTGGACTAGATTTGGTCCAACCCAATCCAGTCCAATGTGAGTTCACTTACAAATGGAGTGGACCCAATCTAGTCCAAATCCAATCCAATCCATTAAAATGTAAACGGACTGGATTGGATCCAATCTAAATTGAATGAAATATAAAAAATTATATAAAAAAGAATATATAAAAATTGCAAAAATATATTAAAATGAAGAAAATCTGAAAAATTACAACAAGCACTTTTATAAAAGTGCTTTGGGCCCTGTTTGATGATTAAGTACTTATTAAAAGAAGTAGAAATACTTATTTTAACAAATACTTAAGGCTGTTTGGTAACCCACTTTTCAAATCACTTATTATGTTTTTAAACACTTATTGGAGTGGGGATGTTTGGTAAGCTACTTTCCCCATAAGTGCTTATATTGACACAAATGACAATTTTACCCTCCATTGTAGATTACTCAGATCTCTCCCTTTTCCTCTCATTTTCTTCACTAGAACTGTCAGAACTGCCAAAATTGTAGATTGGACAATAGAAAGACTCCTCTGATTAACAACCTTCACAAAATTCTCGAATTCCCATTTCTGCCTCCCGAGTCTCTCTTGACTCCCTCTCCTTTTTCTGTTGTCTTCTAGCTTTATCCCCAGCTAGTCCATTTGATATCTTAGCATCTGGTTTGCCTCCAACTTCATGCCTGGGAGGATTTTGTTGCTTCCATTTCCTCTCTTGTTGAAGTGCACTAGCTTCGAAGGAGAAACCTGGAAAGCTCGACCTTGTATCCTACTGTCTGGACGTCCTCTTGAACCTGCTGTTGATATTCTCTAAAGCTAAACTTTTTGTAAACCAAAGGCTCTCTGCAACTTTTTATCACGGAATCGTAGGATAGACAAAAGAAATAAGCTACAAAGAATCGTTCCACTTGTCTGTTCGCCATGACTCGGTGCTGGACACTCTTACAAAGACCATTGCTCCATGCCTACATCGCAAGAACATCTGGGTTCAACAACTGGGATTGGATGATATTCAGTATTACAGTAATGAAAGCGAATTGGAATACTTCAAATAAGTCGCCAATATTGATAATTAGAGCTTCCGGATTGGGTTTTATAGTGATCCATCTCCCATCTTTCACTAGTTGCAGTCCTCTAACTTGATCTTGACACAAAATTGTGAGGAAGTCATTGTCCGTATGTGGCATCAACCCAAAGATCTCAGCAGAGATTAGTTATGGAGGATATCTGTTCAATTGAAGATAACAAGTGCTACGCAAGCAATTTTCCACAAAGAAATTGGATTTAGCACCCAAATTCACCGGTGGACCTGCAACCAAACGCTGCCGCTGCCTATTGTTGTAGGGTTTCGAATAGAAGAAGAAGATGATAAACTCGAGTGGGGGTAGTTTTGTCATTAAAGAAAAAAACAAGGACAGGTTTGCCCCATTCGAATGAAGAAGCACCTTCTTCAAAAAGTGCTGAAGAAAAGCCACATCCATGTCACTTTTTTAAGTACTTTTTTTAATAATAAGTACTTCTTACCCTCTTTTTTACCAAACACCCATAAGTACTTAAAAACCACTTAATGTGTGGTCCCATGTCTTAAAAGTACTTAAGTGTTTTCAAACACTACATTAATAAAAATACTTTGATAAAAGTGCTTTTGTAAAAGTACTTTTATAAAAGTACTTCCATATAAGTGCTTTTATAAAAGTACTTTCATAAAAGTACTTTTGTAAAAGTGATTTCATAAAAATGCTTTCATGTAAAAATACTTTTATAAAAGTGCTTTTGTAAAAGTACTTTTATAAATATGCTTTTGTAAAAGCGCTTTTACAAAATTGTTTCAGTAAAAGTGCTTTCATAAAAGTACTTTTGTAAAAGTGCTTTCGTAAAAGTATTTTAGTAAAAGTGCTTTTGAAAAAGTACTTTTCATAAAATTACTTTTATAAAAGTGTTCTTGTAAAAGTGATTTTATGCCGACTTCAGTTTTGATAGGTTTCAAATTGGAGAATGATTTGGTTACATGATCGGATTATTGGAAATTTGGTTTAGGTCCAATTTAGACCAATAAGAATATGGACCAATTTATTTTGGATTGGCCCAATCCAATAATTATAATGGATCGTCCAAACCCAATTTGATAAGGTTTGGATCAGATTGGATCCAATCCAAAACCGGTCGTTTGACACCCATATGTGTGTGCATATAATATTTATAATTTGTACTTTTTATTTTAGTTTTAAATTTTTTATAAATTGAAATTTGAGGCAAAAATTGAGTATTTGTCGTATAGTAGGGTTTCAAAGATTGTGAAAAGCTACACAAAATAAAATAAAAAATCACTCCAACATGGCAACCTAGCACAGTGTTAAGTCATTCAAAAGTTTTTAACCCGTGTAACCCAATCAAGGTTCAAAATATCGATACGCCGGTAGGGGTGTATCAGGCGAATGATACTCATTTTTATTGATTCTTTTTATTTTTTTTGCAACCGGTTCAGGGGGACCGGTTTAGGGTCCACCCCCTGAACCGGTCAGACCCCTGATACACCCATTGTAGGGGCGTATCGAAGGGGTCCCAAAATGAAACGTATCGGCCTATACGGGCCGATACATAATGATTTTTTGAACCTTGAACCCAATGACCCAATGGTTGGGTCAAAAGGGTCACTAATTTGCATATAAACATGTATATAATTAGACAGGGCATGGGTTGGGATAAGGTAAGACCGGACTTGGGCCAAGTTTGGGCTACCTAAATGCTAGGCCCAAGTCCAACTACAAAATTCAAAAGCCCAAGGTTTTGAATCAGGCCTAACGGACCGAAAATCAAATCACATCCTATGTAAATTTGCGGGTTGGGCTGATTCGGGCTTGGCTTGGGCCCGCCCAGCTGCACCCATAATTATAGATTCCTAGTCCTAGATCTAGAGAGTAGGAGTGAGCAAAAAACTAAAAAAAAACAAGAAACTGAATTGGCCAAAAGCGAACCAAAATATATATATATATATATCTATATATTTTATACATATTTATGTATATTATGTATATTATATATATTTAATATTTTTTATATATTATAAATTAATAAATATGCATTATATATAAATAAATAAATATATTTATAATATATGATATGTTATTTATTATTTAAAATATAATATTATATATTTATATAATATATATTATAAAAATAAAAAACTGACAAACTAAATCGACGATTAACTGAACTGGTCAACCGGTTAACCAATAACCGTGAGAGAGCTGGAAAAATAAAGTGGATCTATCCAGATCCGATCCGTTTGCAGCCATCTTCTTCAGCTCTCCAAAACCCTACTCGTGAGGACAAAACACCCCCCCTCCCGGCTGGGCGCCTGGCTTACTTCCTATTGTCTCTGTCGCTTCACAATGCTCACTCGCTTCATCTCCGGCTTCTCTCATCGCCGTTTACTGTCGCTAGCTTCATCGAGAAACTTTTGTCTTCCTTCACAGCCCTCGAACCATTCTCACCTTCCTCCCTTCAATCCTAATTACAATTTCATTCTCGAATCCTTTCGATGTTTCTCGAGCAATCGAAAGGATAATGGAGGTGGCGCCACTAAAGATTCATCTACGTCGACTTCATGGAGATTCTCGCCGGATAATCATAACGATGAGGACTCCTTGTTCCGTGACGGTGAGGGAAGTCTCGCTGGAATCTCGGACGGCGACGCCTACTGCGGCGTTGGATCGGAGAAGACAACGACCGTCGAATCCCAAGGAAATGATGAATCTTGGTCGAAGGATTCGACCGAGAAAGGTGATATTTTCTCTGAGATCGACAAGGAGTTCGGATCTAAGAAAAGCGACGGAAACGATGAGTGGGAGACGGCTGAGGGTTATCGGCCTTGGAGTTTCGTAGATGAAGACAGGGATGAGGTTTTCGATTTAGGGGTAGTTGAGGCACTTCCGAGCATTGGTGATGAAGGTTTGGAGAGGAAAAGGAGTGAGGCCGATAAGCAGCTCGAAAAGGAAGAGCAAGAACTTTTGGGTACACTCAAAGGTAAGATGCAATATTTCCTCTTCGTATGGCTCGTTCATTGATCTCTAGCAAGTATTTTCTGCAATGTTTCATTTTAATATCTATTTAGGGGGTTGCTGTGAGTGTTGAATGACTTGGGTTCAGGTCTTTAACACAAGCATTCAGTTACTTCAAATGTGTGCAGACATATCATGGGGGTCTCTGGGCACTGGGTTACAATGATGAGGATGTATTTCCTGTCATTGGTCAGCTGTATGCTGTTTTCAGTGATTGCATTGTGATCCTCTTTTAAGGCTATGCTCCTCTTCTGCTGGGGCTCTCAACAGTAGGGATTTCTTTTCCTATGATCAATGATATATCTTTATCATGGTAAAGTGATAAAAAAGAACATGTACAAAAAGATGTATGGGTTGGCTGAGTAACTATCACCTAAACCAGCCTGAACCCAAAATAGTTTTGTTTGGGTTGTCTAGAACTATAGATTCATTTTAACTTATCCTCAGTTTACTCAACTGTTTCCATGGTAAATTGACTTTGGCTTTGGTTGGCTGCTATCTGGTATGAATTGTAAGTCATTTTTTAGCTTCCAATGACATTGTAGAGATAATTTTCCAGTTGCTCTCAAAGCATATTAGTTTAAGCAGTCCTTGTCTAAATCATCATGCCATCAACCAAAATTGTCAATAAACTATAATGATTCTGTGCAGAACTAGATATTTTTGTAAAATACTGTTCCTATTGAGATCATTCTACTGCACCATCGATTTTTTTATCATTGTTATGAACTACAAAAAAGTTTCATATATTTAAAGTAGCATGGGCAAATCGATCTGGGCATTCTTTTCATTATGTTGTATACTAAAGGTTCCTTTGATTACTATATCTGTGACTACAGGTCCCAACCGTGCATTTGGAGACCTTATTGCAGCATCAGGAATAACAGAAGCAATGCTAGACAGTTTGATGCTCCTCAAGGATTTGGAAAATGTTGAGGGTCTGCCCCCTCTAACAGAAATAGAGGATATACGTTTAGAGAAAAATGAAAGGAAATCTACAAGAGCTGAAATAGAGCGCCAAAAGCAGGAAGAAGTTGCCAAAGCACGAGTGAGGCAGGTTGATGAGAAGGGTAGGGCTTATGGAACTGGAAGAAGGAAATGCAGCATTGCCCGTGTCTGGATTGAACCTGGTGATGGAAAATTTATTGTTAATGACAAGCAGTTTGATGTCTATTTCCCGCTCCTTGATCATCGTGCAGATCTTCTTCGACCATTTTCTGAGACCAAAACATTGGGTCTTTGGGATGTCAAGTGCACTGTGAAAGGTGGTGGGGTCTCAGGTGAGCATTCACTCCATCAGAGGTCATATTTATGTTAAAAGATATCTAATACTGCATGCTAAATATGTTCAGCTTTTTGTTGAAAAACATTAAAGATGATGATATACTTTTTCTTTTAGCATTTGTAATCAGTTAATTAGTTACTTCATTATTTATCCTATTTTACATTATTAATTTTTAATCAAATATTCTTACATGTCAAACTTGTGGGTACCTGTCTGCTGGAACTGACTGGAGTTGGAACCTATAAGGGCATCATGTTTGTGTTTTGGACCAGGACCCAGGGTTGCAACGGGCATAAAATTTAGGCCTAGGTACTGGTTCATTGGTTCTAGGCCTGTGTAGGTATGGGTATTGGTTGTACCCATTGCTGCTCCTACAGAATATGATTTATATTTTGTTTTAGAGAAGAGAAAGGTAACATATTCTAAATGGTATAGTGCCATGCCATATGCAGCTCTTTGAAAATAATGCCCTACAGATACGGTAGACACCATCAATCATGAAAAGATATGCTACAAGCCTACAAGATAGAATTCTTTTTGGTACTTCTCAAAAAAAAAGTTCAGAGAGTTGCATCAAGTCATTGTTTACTAACATTCTTCCAATTAGATTCAAAAAGGGTCTTCATTCCCAGTAATTTCTGATTTGTGCTTTCCCTTCAACATCTGGTTCTTCTAGACATATCACCTAAACCTAACCTTCAATATCTTGTACACCAGCTACATTGGCTATTTTCCTTCATTATGTCTAGTTGAAATTCATGTTATATTTATATCACAGGAAACTAGGAAGGGAAGGGATTTTGTTGATATTTTGATGGTCGACAGTAGACCGCAAGATGCAGAATGGTTCTTTTTATTCTCAATCAAAATGTGATTTTATACTTTTCAAGGTATGACAAGTAGATATTAAGTGGTATTGCTGGTCCATAAATTGGAAGCAGTCAGATATTTCATCAAGATACCAACTATCCCTATGCTTTAAAGATGGAATTAGCAGTGGCTTGTCCTTGTTCACTCCTTTAATGCATCTATTTTCTTGCATAGCATCCAGTTTTGCCTATGATCTGTCATCATAGAAACTTGGGTATCTTTTTATGCTCCTCCTGCAAGAGCTCGAGATTGGTATTTGCAGACTTCAAAATACATTTTTGTCAACTACATTTGCAATAAGTTTGAAGTCCTGAGGCATTATGCAAGTTGAACAATATCTAGGCTGGTTACACCTTTTTAGCAACTGTAACAATACAGTGCCTGACTAGCTTTTTCATTGTTTGTTGTTTGTATATTGTCCTAAATCTTGAAATCATCTTTGTTGTTATCTAAGCCTTATCCCAACTGTATTGGGTTGGAACATGAATCCTGTCTTGCCATTCCATTCTGTTCAGTGAAATTCCTGAAATCATGTGACCTAATATATAACAATGGATATCACACTGATCAGAATGGAATAACAAAACAGGATTCATGTAAGCCAAACCCATATAGTTGGGACAAGGCTTAGATGATTATGATGCAACCTACTATATTCTATTGTTTTGAAATAACTTTTCTTTATAGTCCTTTTTGAAAACTCCAAAACCTTTAAGTTCTTGTTTTATTGCTTGCTTCCCTTCTCCTCTTTTGGTTGTTGGTTTGGAGCAATGAATTCATCATTTTAAAACAGGTCAAGTTGGTGCCATTCGGCTGGGGATCGGTAGGGCATTACAAAACTGGGAACCGGGTTTGCGTCCCTACCTCAGATCAGGTAATGCAAAATCTCTCTCTCTCTCTCTCTGACTGTGTATGCATGCATGTATCAATGGTGGAAAAGGTGTGCCTGTCTAGGCGCATAGATAAGGTGCTTTTTAGGACTTGCACCTCATCCAGGTCCTGGTGTAGCCACTTTAGAAAGCGTGCACCTTTCGCCCAGGTGTGTGTCTTTGTTAAATTTGACATTTTTTCTTCTTTTTTAAGCATGGAGTATGGGGCGGGGGACTTGTTTGGGCTTGCCTCAAGGGGCTCAATAAAATGTGGCTCGTAGAATTGGAGTAATGTGCAATTGGGAAAGAAATGAAGGGCTTGAAAGTTTCACGTGCTTAAATATGCTTTATATGTTATGTTTGATTTTATTTTTACATTCACTTTGCCTATGCTTTTTGTTGTTATGTTTACTCATTTTAATTTTAGCTAATGGGTTTTTTAAAACATTTAGGTATGTACTCTTTTTAATGTTTTTCTTTATTAGCTTTTTGCATTTTTTGAAAATTTTTAAAAATTATGTTTTGCTTTAAGAAGGTTTACACTATGCGCCCCAGGTGCTAAAAGCCCCTCGCACTTTTTGTGCCTTGTGTTGCTGGGATGTGTGTGTGTGTGTTTTGGAGGGTGTCAAGCCTTTAGCTGTTATCAATAATTCAATATGTCTGCACTCGGATCGTGATGTGTTTTATTATATGATATGTATGATGTGTTTAAAAATGGATTCACTTGTAGTGCAATCTGTGTGTGCAATTTAATGGATTGTAGACCAAAACATGTTCAAGAGAAATATTACAAACTTATAATTTTTCATTCCTTGGTAATTTGATGGATTTTTTTGGCTTCTGCTGAACATCTCATTTTTTTGGTCAGCTGGATTATTGACGAGAGATCCACGTGTGGTTGAAAGGAAGAAACCTGGAAAAGCAAAAGCAAGGAAAAGTTTCCAATGGGTCAAGCGATGAGTCACAATGGTTACAATCTTATTTTTCTTTACTTTTGTACAACCAGTTTTTTTTATGGATAATTTCTCCTTGCCTTGCAATAAGTATTTATTCTTCTAATAGTTGTTCGATTTCGGTATTTAGTCTCCAAATCTTCTAACCCTTGTCATGTGACACTAAAGCACCTAGAGACTATCCTTTTTTGGCTACTGAGTAAATCTTTTTGTACTCTATGGAGGTTGACAAAAGGCAAAGAAAATTGTCACTCTCTCTCTCTCTCTCGGTCTGGAATGCTCTTACATATGAAAATCAACTGGAATTACGTATTTTTCTACTGAAGTGCCACATTTAGATTTTCTTGCTTTATGTAGAACAGTCGGTCCCCAGTCTCACATTCGAAGTAATTGGATGCGGACCATATCTGGAAGATCAAAGTTATTTTCTCAAGTGTCTGCCTTTATTTTATTTTTCATTGATATGTGAACTGTTGATACTTTGCTGAACCTTCTTGTTTAAACCGAAATACTTTATTTAGGAGGTTGTGCCATGAAGTTTAATGTGCTGGTTACGACATATGAGTTCATCATGTATGATCGTTCAAAGTTCTCAAGAGTTGATTGGAAGTATATCATAATTGATGAAGCACAACGTATGAAGGATAGAGAATCGGTTCTAGCACGTGATCTTGATAGATATCGGTGTCAGCGACACCTACTTCTTACAGGAACTCCATTACAGGTGTAGCCACTGACTTACAATACATAGAAATCTGTAAAGCATAGTTATTTTTTATCCTTGGTTGAACATGTGATGATTTTGTCTTCATTCTAATCGTGGGTATATTGTTCATTTTCCATTTTTATCTGTGGTAATTCATGAATGCTGGTATTTCACATGGTTCAAGATTGAATTGAGAATTGGGATTTTATTATTAACTGTTCTATGAGAATTTGGATTTTATATTACCTTACAAGTTTAATCTCAAGGAAGTATCTGAGATGGCCTAAATCTTTAATTTCAAATTCGGATGCCAAGAATCCCTTCAATCTTTATCTCTCTTTTGGATCATTCATTCTGATTAAACCATATCCTCCATATAGACTATGAGAGAGAGCTGTAAGCATATTATCTTGTTTCCTTATGAACAAAGTATGGTCAACACCAATTCATAAAAAAAGTATGATTAACACCATTTTGAGCGTATCCCACTCTTTTCATGGCCCCACAAAGCTTCTCAAACTAAGCTCAACGATATTGCTTCAGCCCATATAAGGCTTTCCTTAGCTTGCGTACATTCCCTTGAAAGTCATAGCCATGTTGAGAATTCATAAATACGTCTTCATGTAGATCCCATTCAAGAAAGCATTCTTCACAACCAACTGATGTAACTCCCAAAAGAAATTTGTAGCAAATGACAATAGAACCCGAATTGTATTAAGCTTCACAATTGGAGCAAAGGTCTCCTTGTAGTCAATTTCGTCCCTTTGAGTAAATCCTTTTGCCACCAACCTAGTCTTATATCTTTCAATTGAGCCATCTTCCTTGTGCTTTACAATGAACATCCATTTACACTTTATAGTGCGCTTCCCTTTTGGTAGATCCACTAGTTCCTAAGTCTTAGCTTTCATGAAGTCTTTCATTTCTTCATTCATTGCCTCTCTCTATTTTAGATTAGACATAACATCTTGAGTACTTGGTGGGAACATGGGTAGAAAAAAAAGATGGACACAAAGAAGTAGTAACGAGGAAATAAACACGAATAAGAAACATATTTAGTAATGTCATGTCGAATAGTACAAGAACTGATAAGCTTATAAAGAGAAATTGAAAGATCCAAGTCAGAAATAGGAGTGATAATATTTGTGATAGGGTTTTACTTTGATCTACTAAGATAGATTGATTTGAGTCCGGTTGGTTGCTGCCACAAGTTAGAGGATCTCTCTTCCTTTTCTTGTAAACGATTCTCATATCTCTTTGTTGTTTATTAATGGCATCAAGCAGAATTTTACCCATCCCCCAACTCGGGTAGAATTTTACAATCAGCAGGAGACCTTACCAACTGTTTGACACCTTGCACATGAAAGTTCTTGATAAGCTGGTGTGATTTCAGGTGTCTCTTAAGCTGTGTTTGGTTTGATAGAATATAAGAGAACCAAAATGGTGAGGGGACGTTCTTAAGGCTGTGTTTGGAAACGATGTAAATAAGTGTGAATGCAAATACGTAGAGTGTAAAACAGTTCATATAAATTGTAAAATTGGGTTAGTTTTGCACTAACAAATTTACCTTCTTACCAAACAGACTTTTAGCTGTAATGGATGCAAACATGAATTATAATAAAGCATATGCTTTTTTTTTTATCAAAAGCCCATGCAAATTTACTTCTTTTTTATTGATGTTCTTTTACATCTTATTATCAATGTAAATATGCATTGGTCTATCATTTGTCAATGCATAAATGTAATGTTGCCAAACACAAGCGAAAGTGAACCAGAGTGCAAATTTACCCTGAACTGGGATTTACACTCCATTTGCATCGTTTCCAAACGCAGCCTAAAGAATTTCATAAAATTTATTAATGTTCCCTCGACTGTGTTTCTCTCTTATTTCCTATCAGACCAAACACAGCCTTAAGGACAAGGTGGGATTGTACATAATACTTATTAGAGGATAAATGTAGGGATTAGAATTAGATTTGAACCATCAACTTCAATTCAATCCATTTTAAGATTGGGTTAATATTTTTCAATCCTAACCCAAGCCAATATTTATTTATTTATTTATTTTTTTAAGAATGAAGAACCCATAGGCGAATACAGATTCACTTCTCACACCCACCTCACAGTACTTGTAGTTGTGCATTGAAAATATCTCCCCATGAATGAAAAACATTCGGGCACACGAGATGTTCCCAATGTTTTACAGTAAAACATAGGCTCTATTTGTTTTACAGTAAAAAGAAGAAAAACCCTTTCTGATTTAAAAAACATCTAATTTTCTATCATTTCTGCAGTGGTGAATTTTTTACTCTGTGTTCTGTCCTCGTGAATTTGTTTGATGTAAACAATGGATGATAGAAGTTTTTGCCATATAATGGTTGAAAAAATAATAAAAAATTTCAAGTTTGAAATTCTATTCTCCATTTTATGCAGAGCACTCAACCGATACCCCATTTGAGAGGGCTTGAGTTTTGATTGAGCTGCACTGTTCGAAGAAGCTACTAAAATTAGTTTCACTGGAAAATCAAATTTTTAGCTGAATTAAAGCGTACTTTAACTTTCTTGGTTTTTCACCAAAAATAGCTTTTAAATTTTTCATGTGGCTACACTTTGGATATAATATTTGTGGTTTTTTCCATTTTTTATGATTGGTCGAAGTCTTTTCGGTATCATATCTTTCCGGCATCATAGTTTTTTTTTTCTATTTTATTAGCATTTCTTTTTTTTTCACCAAAAAACCATCTACCCGGATCCAAACAAGTTGAAATCGAAATTACATCTTTGAAGAGGCGAAGACAGATGGTCTGCTTATCTGCTCCCCATCTACCCAACATCAAGCATCCTTAATTACTTCACCAAGTACTGTATGTCGGGCTCGGTTGTCCCTCCCATATATAAAAAAACACTTTCTATAAGCCCAAATTCTTCTTATGAGCAAAAATTACCTCATTTAATGGGCCCAAAAGATTTCCTTGAGGCAAATCTACTTACCGTGACTTAGGCTGCATTTGGCATTGTTTATTTTAAAGACTTATCTCCTTTTTGCATTTAAAAATTTAGTGTTCATAGGAAGCATTTCAACTGCAAAAAGGTGATAAGTCCTTAAAATAAAAAATGCCAAATGCAGCTTTAGTCAAGGAGTAGCAAGGTCCCCCTTGATATGATTTTGATAGTAAGAGACCAAATATTAATGAATAAAATTTGGATATATCAAATTCCTACGACCCATCAATTATACTCATCCATAGGGAGGTTCCCTTCCATATAGCAGAGGAGCCCGGATCTATTCCTGAGAGAGCGCTCCTCACACTGATCTTACAGCATGTTCTGGCCACATATTGCGAATATCTCCCATATTTGTATTTGTTATTCATGTGGATGTGAGGAGCAGATCCCAATTCATAGTAGAGTGGCTAAGAACTTTTCAAATATTCTTAAAATTTTCACTCCTTGGACAAGCCCATTAGCTAGCTAAGCCAGAGTCACCTAAAAACAAGTGATGCTTGGGCTTGGGCTAGGGCTAGATTATGACCCATAGTTTGCTATGCTTAGCCCAGTCCAGTAAATTGTCACCCCTCACATTTTCTGATTTGAGCAACTACTGGATTTTCTGAAATCCATCAGCCCCATGTCATGTTGATTAGATTAAGCCTTTTTAAGACAACGGATAACAATTCAAGGTTGTTCACAAAGAATTCTCAAAACAATTAAAGGAAGAGGCTTTTTCACTATGGGCCTGAAATTTCTCATTATTAAGCCTAGAGAAATTAGGGTCATAGTTGGTTTGCATAATTTCCCCTATAATTTTCCTTAATAATAGGGAGAATAGAGGGGGACAAGAACTCACATGTTATTAAGGCCCGGTTCATTTTTTGGTAAGTTACTTATCTGGGTAAATGCAATTATTTGGACAAGTTCTTTCTGGGAAACACCTATTCGGGTAAGTGCATTTACCAATGTTCTTTTATTTCCTAGGTAAATAAGGTAATGACCATTTTAGCCATAAAAATTCATTATTAAAAGGGACATTTTTTGTCCCATTCAAGTGTTAACAACTTTCCCCATAGGTGGGAAAGTTATTTATCCACAATGATACCGAGGAAAATAAACTTTCCCTTATCCCCACATAAATCTGAAAAATGAACATGGGGTTCTTGGTCAATGCGAACCAAAATCCCATTGACCGGCTTTACCCCCTCTCCTGAAGCAAAAAAAAAAACTTTCCCCCCTCTCAAAATCCAAAAAAAAAGAACACCCACTAAAAGAAAGATAGCACATGAATTAATAGATCTGCCTTTAAGTCCGGATTGGCCGGAGATAAAATCATACACATCAGGCTGGACAATTTATCACGAGTGGATACACCAGTGGTTCTGTATGCATAAGGTGTGGGTTTCACATGGGCCCCATGTGTATGGTTCCGTATGCATAAGGTGTGGGTTATTGGGTTTCACATGGGCCCATGTGTATGAAATACTCGCATATTTACTCATGACGGATTTCCCAACCCGGTTGCATGATTTTGTCTCCATCTTCATCTTGTCTCCTACCTTCACATGTTATGTATTGTCTTTTTAAACATATATAGTTATCTGTTTCATGATTTCTAAGCCACATATTGATAGCCATGTGGTAATTTGAGTTTATGATATTAACTGCCATATCTCTGGATAAACTATGAACATCCATTGATCGTTTACTTCTTAAAACATTAATAGAAATCATTAAGATTCATTTAGTTAGTGGAATGAAATTTTATCTAATGTTACAATGTATGATTTCATTAGTTATTTAGTTAAGTGTATGATTTCATTTTCTGATAGAGCTATTTCTGCATGAATTGGTGATCAAGAGTGACTTGTAACTTGCAATGAATCTAGGGCTCATTTGGTTCTCGGGAATAGAGGTCTAGAATCAGAATTCCAACTGTTTTGTTGGGCGGAATCTGAATCCTATTTACATTCCTGGTGGATGGCATTTCCCCATTTAAGGGGATGGTTATTTCCTCCCTCTTGATCTCTTGGGAATAAAATCCCATTCCAGCTGATTTTAATTTCTATTCCTATTCCTATCTGAACCAAACAGATTATAATAATAGACCATTCCAGTTATGATTCCGAAGAATTTCGGTTCTGATTCTAACTGCAAATCAAATATACCCCTATTTTTATTTCTGGGAATATATATCTACAATTTATATATCATAGGACATGA